GGCGGCGGCCCGGCGCGCTGCTCCGGGACCGCGGGGCGCGCCAGCGCCGCCTGCCGATTGGCCTCCCGCTCGATGTCTGTTGCATTTGCGCGCCCGCCCGAGCGCGCTCCAAGGCGCGCGGGAGCGCGGGGCCGGGGCCCGGCAGGCTGAGCACCGGCCGCAGGCGCAGTTCAACGAGTTCGCGGCCCGCGCGACCTGGGCTCAGGCCTCGGCTCCGGCGCAGGCTCTCCTCGCGTTCGCAGCTGCGGCGGATTTCGCGCTCGATGGGCGTCTCCATGAGCTGTCCCTCCCGGGACTGCTGTGGGGTGTCGGAGCGCAGTAGAAAATGCAGCTGAGGTGCTTCCGAGTCTGACTCTGAGGAGGTCTCGGGATCCTGAGGGGGACACTGCTCCAGAACCCCCCTGCCTTGCGCTTCAGACGGCTCAGGGTCTTCGCTGCCTGGCCCAGGACTCTCAAAGGCCCCAGCTGCTGACCGCCCGAGGCGTTCTGAGTCCTGCCCAGCTGATGACCGGAGGACTTCGCTCTCTCGCTCGGGAATCTCTGCGCCCTGTTCTAGGGAGGGCGCAGGGACCTCAGTGTCCTGCTCAGCTGCAGGCCCGGGGATTTCGCTGTTTGACCCAGGGGGCTCAGGGCCCTGCACTTCAGACGACCCCAGGGCTCCGCTCTCCGGCCCTGGGGCCTCGGTGTCCAGGGTTAGAAGCAGCTCGGAAGCCTTAGCTCCTAGCGCTGGAGTTTTGATGCCCAGACCTGGGTCACAGTGCCTGCGCGGCACCTGTGCCCGCAGTCGCCGCCCGCGGGTTCCAAGGCGTCGCCGGCACCGGCCGCTTCTCTGACCCGCCCCTGGCCTCCAAGAACGGCCCCCGGGGGCAGGACCGAGCACCGCCTCCTGCACCTGCCGAGAGGACTCCGGGCCCCGCCCTGGCCCCGCCCTCGAAGCGGGGGTGCCTCGGCTCCGCACCAGAATTCGTCCACTGGCGCGCCTCATGTCAGTCAGCTCAGGGCATTGGACTTCTTGCAAGAGGGCTTATCTAGACATAACCTGCTACCTGGGTGCCGTGTTCACTCAGTGGGCGCCACGTCCTCGGCATTGGAGGCTTGGCCCCAGCTGCACGCCTGACTAGGCCTCTGAATCACTGTCCTCTGGTTGAGTGTCTCCCGAAGCCATCTTTCCGGGGCCTTGCCAGTCCCTCCCAGTCTGTGTCAGCCGGTGGGCAGCGACGCCCATAGCCTCTGGGCTGTCCTTCCACTTTCCGCCCCTGCAGCGCTCAGCTCGGGCTGAAGGGGTCGCCAGGAACCGTCTCACCGCACTCTCCAGTCTCCTTCCCAGTGCCTGGGCTCAGCATGGTTCCGGGCGGTGCGCCCGCGCCAAGCCCAGAGGGAGCCTCCCCTCACCCCCTCCCGGAAAAGTCCGCGAGGCGTCCGCCGCCAAGTGCATTACTGGGGCCGAGGGAGGAGGGACGCACGCACAGCGCGTCCAGGGCTTAGCGGAGCGGCTGAGGTTTGAAAGGCGGTCACCTTGGGCCCAGGAGACTGGGAAGGCCCAGAGAGGTATCCAGACTTGCGGGAGGAAGTAGCTCCCTGCTGGGGCTAGATTGTGGTGTTCAAGGCCAGGATCGATGCCCTCAGCGGGCGACCCACCCCCAGGGACATAGTTCTCTCTTCCCCTGGGCTGTCTCCAAACCCCTTCCCCCGCCCCCACCATTCTAGGGTAACCAGGAAAAAATATATAATTACCTAGAGAAAGCAGGGGGCTACACAGCCTCAGGAACCCCCAATAATCCAATTATCTTCCCCCAACTCTCTTCCTACCTCTGTTACTCCCTTCTGTCCACCCTCATTCTACTCTCTCCTGGATCCCAGTCTTAAACTGCTATCCTCCTCCCTTTGACCATCTGACTCCTTCCTCCCTCTACCCTTGACCTAATTGGAATTAGGCCCCTCTGGTTTCTATCCCACTTATAACCTGAGCAAGGTGCCAGCCTTCTCCAAGGCTCAGTTTCCTTGTCTGTAAAATGGGGATAATGGCTCCTACTGCCTTCAGAGAGGATGAGGATTCAAACTATACTTCTGGAATGAGTTCTCTCTATAGTGGACTCTCCCCTTTATCACCTTCTGTCCCTCCTCTCGCCATGCTTACTGGGCTCTTGGTTCCACCATGCCACTGAACCTTCTCTGTCCAGGGACACCCATGACCTTTCATTTGCCAGACCCTGTCCCTGGCTCCTCCGTGATTTCTTCTCCATTAGCTCCTTGGTCTTCAAGGACATTACCCTCTCCTGATTTTCCTCCTACCTCTTGGGCACCCCTTCTCGGACTTCGGTTTCACCTGCATCAATGAGCTTCCTTCCCCTCTGGCTTCCACTGAAGTTGGCTGATGGGAGAGAGGAGAGTGAGGTCAGGATGTTTATCCCATGCCCCCCTCCCTCCAAGCCTTGTCCAGGGAGCTGTTACCAACTCAGGCTGTGTACTATGCCTTGTTTCCCTACTATGCCTTTGTAAAACTTCTGTTGAGTTCTCATCTATTACTCAGTTTAAGTATAAGATCTCTTTACTGCTAATACTCAGATGTTGACAAGTTCCAGTCTCATGTTTTAAACACCATCTGCATGCTGATGTCTCCCAAGTTTATAACTCTTGCTCTTTCTCCCCTGGGTTTTGGACTCATATCCAACTGTCCCCAGTTTAATAGATATGTCAAACTGAACGCTATTGAATTAGCCTCAGTTACTCTCTTTCCTTCAGCTACCCCTCTCCAATTATTCATATATTGGATTGCTGTTTGCTCTCCCTCCAAAACATACTCTGAATTCATCCACTTATCTCCACCCTTGTCCCAGCCATTCACTGTCCTCCAATGACTCCCCATCAAACTCAGAAGAAAACTCCGAATTTCCCACTGTGGCTCAGAAAGCCCTTTCCACTTATCAGATGTCATCTTCTGATACCCTCCGTCCGAGCCTTCATGCTTTCCTCAAACCCCCCACCCACCCACCCAACTGCATTGTCACTGCAGGGTCTTTGCACTTGCCTTTCCCTCTGCTTGGAATAACTCATCACATGGTTGGCTTCAGCTATTCAGATCTTAGCTCAAATATCACTTCTTTGGAGAAGTGGTCTCTGATCACCAGCTTACATCACACACAGCTCTGCCCCATAACCCTATCCCTGTTATTTTCTGTAACTCACCCAATACTGCAGGTATCATCAATCACCTTTATTTCTTTGTTTACTTGTATATTATCTGTCTCCCTCCCCAACCAGAAAGTGAGCTGCATTACAACATTTTCTGTTTGTCATGCTCACCCAACTCCCCCATGCCTAGAACCGTACCTGACACAGAACAGTTGTTTAAGGATGTTCTCAATGCTGGGAACTAAGAAAGAAGCCAGACTTGGAAGTTGCAGTTGAGTTTGGGAGACAGACTCAGTTATAAACTGGACAATCTTGCCTCAATGTGGAACCCAGGACAAGAGTACAAAGGGAAGCCTATATACTACACATCTAAATTTTACAGTTACAAAATCAAACTGCAAGCCAGTATTTAGAATATTTTCTCCTCCAAAAGGTGGGAACAATCCAAATTTCCATCAACAGATGAATGGATAAACAAAATATGATATATCCATATAATGGAATATTATTCAGCCATTAAAAAGGAATGAAGCACTGATTCATGCTACACTTTGGATGAAACTTGAAACCATGATGCTCAGTGAAAGAAACTGGGCATAAAAGACCACATATTGTGCATTCCATTGACAAGCAATGTCCAAAATAGGTAAATCTTTTCTGTGTGTGTGTGTGTGCTGACTAGACATCTTTAATACAATTGAGCTCATACTATAATCAGAATAGGTAAATCTATAGAGACAGATGCAGATTGGTGGTTGCCAAGGACTGCAGGGGGTGGGAGGATGAGTAGTGACTGCCTAATGGGTACAGGATTTCCTTTGGGAATGATGAAAAGTTTTGGAAATTTCTGGTGAAAGTTGCACAAACATTGTGAATGTATTAAATGCCACTGATGGTAAATTTTGTTATGTGTATTTTACCACAATTTAAAAACTAATTTAAAAAAATATATTCTCTTTTCCTATCATGGCAAATATAAATATAAAAATTTTAGAATGACCTAGAAGGCCAGATTCAATGGAAAACATTTTGAATCCCTAGGGGTTTTGTGCTAGAATGCGGGGCACAGGGAAACCCCAGCCCTCAATCTGGCCCCTTTTGCTTCCCACCCCTAACTCTGCACAGCGAGGAGCCCTGTGCACACACCTAGGGACCCCACCCCCCTGCATGCCCAAGCTCTTTCCTCACCCCTCTGCCAACAGCTGCCTTTGGCCACTTCTTGGCCACCCTGAGTCGGATCTAGAAGAGGGAGGGAGGATTTAGCTGGGTACATTCCTTTTGCCCCATGGGGAGCATGCCTTCTAAAGCAAGGGGCCCAAGGACAAGGGCCTTCTCATTGAGGTTCGTGTCAGAATTGCACAGTGTGACCAGGGCTGTGATGAGGGAAGTGCTGGGGGCTGCAGGAGACCAGCCTGGAGAGTAGGAGACATTTTTCCCAAAGAGGTGGTTGAAGGAAACTCATAATCAGCTGAGGAAAGAGGTGCTGGCCCTTTAAGAATGAGATAGAGGGTAGAACAGGGACCCTCAAAATTTGGGTAGGAAGTTCTCTAGACTTTCCTCATCACCCCCTCTCCAATAGTAATAGCATCTAAGAGGTGTCCAGGGTCCTGGAGGTCATTTGATCTAATTCTCTCATTCTACAAAAGGGGAAACTGAGGCCTAGAAACCTGGGGGAAGTTGCCCAGAGTTGTCCAGAGTCCAGGCCTTCTGGCTTCCCTGGGGCACAGGCTCTGGTCTCTAGAATCTTCTAGCCAGATCAGCCCTTTCTTCCCAAAGCAAGGGTCCAAGGAGGGAGGGCAGTAGTGTGTGAAAGTATCTCTCGTGTGTGTGTACAACAACGCTCAAAAGTGGGTGACCCTTGGTGGGCAGCCGGACTTGAAGTTTCTAAGGTGCCAAGTGGAGGCGCTGTTGTCTGAGGGGGGTCAGGGACTCCCAGCTCTTGTCCACAAGCTCTACCGTGCATGTGAGTGTGTGTTTGCCGGGAGGCAGCTGAGTGTAGCAAGGAGGCCAGTAGCTGGTAAATAATTGATCAGGACAGCTGATAGTACCTCCCCAGAACTGCCCGCCAGCCCCCAGCCCCCCCTCAGCCCAGCCCGTGTGTCTCCTGCCTCCTGGCCCAAACCAGCTGGACCAGCTCTCCCAGTGCCCGCCTGCAGTCCCCCCCCCCAACTCCGGACAGCCAAGTCACAGCCTCTAGGGCAACTTTCCGCAAGCGGGTGGTGGGTCCTGAACTCGAAGACCAGAACGTGGGCTTCTGGGCAGAGATGGCCCTGCAGAGCCAGGTGTGGGCTCCAGCCACACTCATGTAAGTGTCCAGGGTCAGGGGGGCCGGTGGGCAGGACCTGGGAGGGGTTCATGGAATACGCTGACCTTTCTACCGTCGGGAGATGGGGGGTGGTGAGAGTCCCAGCTAACCTCTCCCAAGGAGGAGTGGAGGGAGGCTAGCAGCCAACCTTACAGGCTTTTCAATGCCCCCTCCCCAGAGAGTCAGGTGGGAGATGTGAACTCCCACCCTCTTCTTTTTTGGGGATTTTCCGCTGGCAGGCTTCAAGCCCAAAGTCCAGCCTGGGGGTGGAGCTGTTACCTGGTGGGGGCGGGGAATGTCAGGGTCCCCTCACTCCCATATTTTGCCTCTAGAATCATCCCTGAGTATCCAGTTCAGGAGAAAATGTTTAAGATTCAACAGAAAAAGTTAACAGCTCCCAAACTGGGAAAGAGGAGGGCAAAATGGAAACAATCACTTGTTTAATGAAATGACCACCAACTGTTCCTGGTGGGGCAAAAAAGGCCACCACTATGAATGCTATTCTTGTAGAGTTACAGATACATAACATCTCAAGAGGTGTGCAGGGTATTTTAATATTCAAGGTATGAGGGCTTTTTAAAGTAAGAGGGTGGAGGGGCTCTAGAGGTTTGCAAAGAGTTCTGGAAAAGGGGCTCCCTCCAGGGACCCCAGTTTGGTTCCTCACTCTTTTGGGTTCCCTGTTGCATTATTCACCAACTACAAACCTGGTTGCCTAGCAACGGGAACCTGATTCCCCCCCCAGCAAGGAAGAGGCAGGGAGATTACATCTTGAGGGTGGGAGAGCAGAAGGGGGGACTTCAGCCTTCCCCTAGGGGCAAACTTATTAGCAGGGGGTCTGAGCTTCCTTTGGGATACCCTGTAAAGCATGACTTCAGTACTCTGCTCTAAGAGAAGTCAGGGACCCCCTAGTTGATCTCTGGTCTCCTTGCTGCCAAGACAAGGATGCCTGGACTCCCCACTTCCCCAAAGCGTTTCCAGTGTTTTGGGCCTGAGAGCCTTGAGTTTCAATCCTGACTCAGTAGACTTAGACAAGTCTTTTCACCACTTCTTGGAGCTTCAGTTTCCTCATCTGTCAAATGGGGACAGTATGATTTTACCTCCTAGCATGGTAGAGAGGGTTAAATGAGTAAAGGTACAGCATTTAACAGTGCTGGGCACATGGTGTGCACTGGCTAATGGCTGGCTGATTTTATTCTCAGTTGGAATGTCAATTCAGTAGAGTCGACTACAGTGTCTCAGGATCAGAACAGGGAGGGGGAGGTGGCTGTGGGAGCCGAGCGGAAGCACCGTGGGGCACTTAGAGCACTATATATAGTACGTGTTAAATGTGAGCTGGCTATTATGCCTTCATGGTGAGGCCAGAGAAGATCCGGGAGGCCCCACTAGAGTTTGGGCAGTGAGGTTAACGCTCACTCAGTAGGTTAGTGCTCAAATTAATAAATGTTTGAGGGCTCACTCTGTGCCCACCCTGGGCTAAATGTCAGGGCCAACAGGTAGATGGATATATCCTTCTAGATAATCAGCCTGTGAGGCGCCTGCACATAGTCAGCACTCAGTGCAGGTCTGTGATGATAGGTTGATGTGACGATGACTCCCCGAAGCACCCACAAACTGCCTTCAGCTTCCAGGGGAAGTCTGGGTTGGCTAGGGGGTGGCCCTGGAGTTTGGACACTGAGGATCCTGGGGTGCTCTGAGGAGGACAGTGATGGGGGAATTTCAGGTTAAACCTTAAACGGCCAGTCATTCTCCCCCTTCTTCCAGTTCAGAGTCCAGCACTAGGCAGTGTGACCTGGTGACCTTTACCCCCAGCGAGGGTGGTTTGCTGGTGGAGGAGGCAGCTCCGGAGTTACCATGGCAATGGTATGTGTCCACAGTGGGATGGACACTTCTCAGGCTTCCTCACCCTCTAGTGCTTAAGGGATGCTGGCTGGGTAGGAGCCAAGGTCCAGAGAGGGTGTGGAACTGGTAGCAAACACAGTGCATGTTGGGGTCTTGCAGGATTTCTGTAGGACAGACTGGGAATGATCATTATAATTAATAAATTATTAAAGTTATTGGAAATGATTAAAGTTATTAATAATAAACAATGCTACTGATTTTGGAGCACTAGGTCCTAAGATTTTTCCTGCACGGATAATTCCTTGGAAGGGCATCTCTCTGCAAGGTGAGGTGAGGGTCAAGCTATCCCGGCCCACTTTAGAGATGGAGAAACTTAGGCTCAGAGAGGCGATGTCAGGCCTGGGAAGGGATTTAGCTCAACCTGTTTCGGTCTCTGCTCTCTTCCCCTCACAGGACCCCTGCCCCTTGCCCCGACTCCTCTCAGGTGCAAAGCGGAGATAGAGGAAAACACTGGGCTTTGATTGACTTCCAAGCAGCTCAGGGATCTTGGCTTAAAGAGGGATATTCAAGAGACGGGCCTGCTGAGAGGTGGGGCCCTGGGAGACCCCTTTCGCAATCCCTGCTCTCTCCCTGCAGGCCCATGGCCGAGAGCTCCCTCTACCGGCAGCGGCTAGAGGTCATCGCGGTAAGTGAAGCCCTAATAGAGAGCTCCGCCCAGAGCCCTGGGCACCCCTAGCCGTGCCCAGTGCCTCTTCCTCACTTCCCACCCATCATGGGGAGCAGGCCTAGTGCGGTGAAGGTGGAGGGGAGCACCCTCAGTTTCAGCCTTCCCTGGGGCGCCCCACCTAAGTCCTCAGGCCCCTCCTCTCTGTCTGGTCACTACTCCCTGCAGAGTGGAGAGCTGTGGGCTCCGCACTCTTGAAATCTGCATCATCCAATGCTCCATTCTTGAACCCTTGTCTCCCAAATACCCCACGTCTGGACCCCGTGTCTCAGACCCCCATACGTGGACTTCATCTCTCTAAACTCCCATATCTAAATCTTCATCTCTGTGGACCCCATCTCTCTGAACCCCCCATCTCACTAAGCCCCATCTCTCTGGTCCCCAACTTCTGCACTCCCATCTGTCTGGACCCTATCTCTGCATCCTAGTCTCGCTGGACCCCCATGACTTCACCTCCATTTTTGAGCCCCCATCTCACTAGCTCTCTCCCTTTGATCGTCATATCTGGACCCCCATCTCTCTGAACCCCGTCCCTCTTAACCCCATATCTCAGACACCGCCCCCCAGATAACCCTTACAAGGCCCTCCCCATCCACAGACCCCCCATTTGGCGCAAACAAGGCCTCCGCAGCCTCCCGGGCGCGGCTGGTCCCGCCCCCGCCGGCCCCGCCCCTACTCGCTGCTGAGTCAGCACGTCCTGTGCCCTCTCCCTGCCTGGAGCCCCGACGTGTGTTCCGCTACCCCGCGCAACTCGCAGCCCCGGGAGTCCCGGGAGACCCCGGGAGCCCCCGCGAGCCCGGCG